GGGGGCTAACCAAACTGGCCCCCCTCTTGTGTCCCCTTGGAGGTCCCAGCATGGTGGTGGGCCCCCTTCATCTTCTGGGGCCCTTCGCCCACCTCTCCTCCCTCGGCTCCAGACACCTCCTGGCCTCAAGGAAGCGGTAGACTTCCTCGGCTCGGTCTCTCTCCGCATTCCTCTGGAAACTCCTGGCCAGGTCCTTCAGACGTCCAACCAGCTGCTTCTGCTCCAAGGGATGGTCCCCGGGGACCCTCAAGCCCGCCATGTACGCCTCCAGCGCCTCCTGCTCCCGCCCCTTCTGCTGATGGAGGAAATCTCCCCAATGCAGGTAGATGGCCTGCTGGCAACGCTTGCTGACCGTGGGCAGCTTCTCCATCAGGTTCAGATAAATCTCTTCCTCGTAAGCCGGGGACTTTTCTCCATACGCTCTGGCCAACTTCAGCCTGGAATACACCGATTCGGGGCATGCTTCCAGAGACCGTTTGAAGCTCTCTGCCGCCTGGGCCGCGACCTCTCCTCGGTTTTCCGGCTGCATTCTCTCCAGCACCCGCAGATAGCACACGCCGAGGTCGTAGTGAGGGAGGTCGTAGCCGGGATCCAGGGCGACGGCCTGCTTCAGGATGGAAATGGACCAAGAGAGGGGCTGACGCCGGGAAAACTTGGCGGCCAGCCGCAGGACCTCCGGGTTGGAGCTGTGCCGGACCACGTCGTCCGCCAGATGTTTCGCTCTCTCTGGGTCTGTCTGTTCAAGTGCCGTAGCCAAATACACTTCCACATCCGCATTCTGGGGCTGGGAAACGAGGACCTGCTCCAGCAAGCTTTGGGCCTCTTCCCGAAGGTCTTCTCTCCACGAATGAGTCCAGCAGGCATAAACGGAGGTGGCCAGGCCGGCCCGGAATTCTTCGTTGGCCTCTGCGCCTTCCAGAGCCCTCTGGAAACATTTTCTGGCCTCTTCTCCGTTCCGGAAGCCCCCGGCCAAGAGGGACCAGCCTTTCTGGGCCTCCACTTCGGGGATCGCCACCGAGTAAGGCTCCGGGCTGGCCAGGGACTGGCAGATCTCACGGATCTGGCCCAGGTAGCGCTCCACCATCTCGTAATTGCTCAAGTGGTAATAAACCCAGGCGTAGTTCCCGTAAGTCACCAGGACCTGGCGGGAGAAGTCGGAGGGGTGCTCTTCCTTCAGGGCCTCTTCTGCGTCTCGGAGGGTCCCCAGAGCCTCCTTGTCCTGCCCTTCCAGGTGTTGCAGGTATGCCCGCATGGCGAGGTAGACACCCCGGTTACGGTACCCGGTGTGCTTGATGCGCAGAGCCAGCGTCGTCAGGATGTGCATTACGTCCACCTTATCCTTGATCTCGAAGTCCCAGGTGAAATGGCACTGGAGGCTCTGGAGCTTCTCCCAGAGGGGTCGGCTGTGAGGGAAGGAAGAGAAAG